ATATATATATATAACATCTTGTTTCTAGGTTGCTATGTTTCTAACCTCCCGCCTTAGATTGTTCTGTTGCTACACCTACTCACCCCTCCCTACCTCACAGAATCAATTATTCACTCACCCCTTGCAGGAATTCAGCGACCGCCACGCTTCAACAATTACTGTCAAGTTTTCAAATGTCAAAGTTCACAGACGCCACCCGTGACAACACAAAGAGCTGTAAATAACGGCGAGTCGCCACCGTGAATTCACAGCAGTTTCACAAGCAATCGATTGATTGGGACGAAACTTTCGTTAACGTCGGCAAAGGACAAATAACAACAGAGAGAAAAAAAGTGTGCAGAAAAAGAAAAGAAATAATAAAGAAGAAGTAGACCTGGAAGGCAGTCCAATCCACCCCTAGTGGTAATGAGGCAACAATATGGCGGCAGACAGAACAAGATGGAAGATCAATAGTGGCTCAATATGAGAAACAGGCAATCCTGCATCTGGCTGTTTCTTTTATATTCTATATTTCTTGCATCTATTTCTTTGATATACTATATTTCTTCTATCCGTTTCTTTTAAATTTTATATTTCTTTTATCCGTTTCTTTTAAATTTTATATTTCTTTTATCCGTTTCTTTTAAACGCTATGTTTCTTCATCCGTTTCTTTTATATTCTATATTTCTTGCATCTATTTCTTTGATATACTATATTTCTTCTATCCGTTTCTTTTAAATTTTATATTTCTTTTATTAGTTTCTTTTAAATTTTATATTTCTTTTATCCGTTTCTTTTAAACGCTATGTTTCTTCATCCGTTTCTTTGATATTCTATATTTCTTGTATCTATTTCTTTGATATTCTGTATTTCTTTTGTCTATTTCTTTGATATTCTGTATTTCTTTTGTCTATTTCTTTTATGGGTGTTTTTACTTCTCCATCGACACAAGTTTGATCAGTTAGGAGGCGGCTTCTGGTCCTGTCTGTCAGGGCCAACCCGGGCTGGAGACTGAAAGAGGTACAACCTCTCAGCGGAAACACCGAGTTACTCCGATATACATTCTCACCACTCGGAGATTGAGCTTGGGTCTTTTATGAGCGACGGCGAAGAGCCTAACCACTACACCACAAACCCCCGCAGGGCTAAAACCTACCATCCGCGGTAAGGAGAAAACAAGATGAGAGACAGAAAAAGGACGATCAATAGTGGCACTGGTGACAGCTGGAACTACAGTCCGGCCTCTGGCTTCTAAAGACAAAGATATGTGTCACGACGAGGTGGAATCAGGCGCTCGTCAATTGTTGGGCATGTTGGGCTATTGGTATCAACTTAAAGTCTGTTCATTTGCCTTCCTTTTGGGGAAAAAATATCAACTATGTTGAATCGAAGTCGAAATATTTGCGATTGAAGGAGGTCAGGGTCACCTGGTTTCAGAGGTAAAATTAGTGCGAAAATTGTTGTTTGGTACACTTCAATAGCCTGAGATTCCTTGAAAACTGAAAATTAAAAATTTTTGTGTCAGTAAAATCAACAACAACAAAAAATGCTTTAAATTAAATGACCTAAAAGATGTTGAGCCAAAAAAAAGAAAATTATAAAATAAATTGTCCATCAATCAACCTCCCCCCCCCAAATTTCTTTCATTTCATTGTTTTGACGAACGCCTGATTTCGCCACGATGCTTCACATATAACTTCATTGATGGTGAGGGAGCCCTAGGGAAAGTGATATGGCACACTAAAGAAAAGAAGTCCTAGTGTAACCGAACCTTATAGCTTCATCAGTGAGAGCAGTACACTGATATTTCTTGAAGGCCGTTCACAGTTAATTGGTAGGCCTACTTATTACAGTTATATAACATGTATTTTTATATCATACACACACTCACATACACACACACACACACACACACACACACACACACACACACACACACACACA